AAGGTATAAAGCATAAACCAGGCATTCATTCACTCAACAAAAAATACTGACCACTATGCAGGTGGCTTTGAAGACCATGGAGGTGTGTGAGCCGCCCTCCTGCAGAGCAGCTTGGCTGCTTTTCCTACGTTTTGTCCTGGGGTCCCATTCTGTGGTCACTTCTGCCCTGCATTTCTTCAGATTTCTGGTATGTCAACCCAAGCTACTTGGGGCGCCTTGGACTCTTCTCCTCACAGGTATCCCTGGACAGCACAGTGACACGGCAACAGATTCCTCTCTGTCTCATGCAGGGCAGTTCCACGCTTGTCCAAAGCCTTGAAAGTAAGTTTTCTCCTTAAGACAAATTCTCACGCCAGCAGATAAAAGTTTCTCTTGCTTGTTATGGGTCCTAAGTATTATGAGATTGGGGCAGGAAGGATCACTTCAAGAAGAGGGATAGAGATGGTTCTGGGAAATCTCCAGACTCAGAAAGGAGTTCCAAATGCCAGGTGGAATTTTGATATAGCAATATGACAAGAGTAATTTTATTCCTCCCTAAAGAAAATGATACTATCATCTTCATAACTAGTAATCATTACACCATAAAAGTTTATATTGACTTCTGGCATATAAACTATCATTCAAAATAAAGTCTATTAACATTTTTTCACCTCTTTCCTTTTACTTTTTTAACATGGTCACTAGAAAATTGAACATTTTGAAAGTGGCTGGCATTATGGAGCATGTTACATATTTTGCTGAACTTGGGTAGTCTGTTTTTATATTTTTGGTCCTGTTTCCATGGAGTCAGGCAGAACATTTTTAAAGCTGTACGATTAACCTAGTGTTTTCCAAGTCTCTCTTTTGTTTAGATTACTTAATGTTTTATATTATTCTTAAAAATTCCAAGCTGAAGTAGGAACCACTGTCACCAATTTAACAACATACATTTAGGCCTGTAGTTTCCATAAAAGAATAAGCAGAGCTCTAGGAGAGCAGAGGGAAAGTGAGGTGTAATCCTCTGAAGGCAGACGTGAAATACTGTTCTCAGTCTGAAGGGCCATGGCCACTGATTCTTGTTTGAAAGTTGTTTCTACTGACATCTTGCCTAATTTGATCTTTGGCATCTATATAACAAACTATGCGAACAACTCTAGACCTTATCTGTGCCCACTCCACCCTGGGATGCTCCAGCCTTTCCCATCTCGTAACCACATCCACCATCTAGTTACTCAGACACCAAGGCATGCCAACATCTCCCAAAACAACTCTCCCTCCACTCCTGCCCCTACCCTCCAGCTGCCAGTTCCTCTTGGAAGTTGATCAGCCAATAATGCCTTTTCAAAATGCAGCAGGGGCTTCCCGTTGCATGAGGAACATAAATTGAACTTCTTACCATGGTCTTAAAAGCCTCTTACTACCTGGGCCCTGGCTCCCTCTCCAGTGCCACCACCTGCATCCTCCCTCCCTTGGCTCTGGGCTCCTTGACCTGCCTCAAGGTTCTCCTGCCCACAATAGTTGTCTTCTCTCTCTGAGGAGTATCATTTCCCACAATAATTTTAAGTGGGTCCTTCTATTAGGCTGCCAAAGTGCCCTGTGCATCTTCTTTATACAATTAACAGTTACTATCTATTTTTATTAATACAGTACATATTTCTGTCTTCCTAGAATTATACTCCAGAAGGACGGAAACAACTGCTTTGAGACTCTAGGTAGCCACTGCACCACCAGTCACCCGACACAGAGTAGGCACCCATAAATAAAGTACACAAAAACCTGGCTTCTATGTCCCAACTGATGTCTGTGTATCCTCTGGGGCTACATGACATCCTTGCATAAACTGGGTGAAACACCAAAATAAAAAACCTGTCGCTTACTGCATCTATTCTTCCTTCTGCAAGTCAGCTGACTTAACTTTTGTTTAATGTTATCCTAAATAAATCTTTGAAATCAGTTTTCCATGTAATAAAGCACAGAAGAAACTGTAATCCGGTGGTACATTCCAGAAAATTGTCAAGTCTTTGCTATTTCTATGTGGTGCAGATGACAGAAGACCACCATGTAGGTCAGAATAATAATTTCCATTAACTGCAACAGAAACCTGGGCCCTGAGGGGAAACTGAACCAATGTCAACACTCAATTGCTCCCAGTTTGTCTTCCCAAACTTTAAAGTACCTTTTTGGGCATTAAAAATATAGTAAAAATGAATACTATAGTTCCAGCAGTCAAACATCGAGTTCTACCAAGAAAGTCTCCATAGGTTTCTACAACTCTAAGACACTTCTTCCCTCATGGAAGTACTTTGTTAAAATTAATTTTTACAGTACAATTATTCTTGACTATAGTCACCCTACTGTTCGACAGATCTCAAAACTTATTCCTCCTATCTGAAACTTGGTATCCCTTGACCAACATCTCCTCTTTCATCCCTTCCCCCATGAAAGTCCTTTAAATCCCACCACTGCCCTGTCCCGGTGCTCCTGCTCACAGGCCATGAAGGAAAGGTAAAACTGGTGACAGGCCAGGCAGAAGGAAGCACACCTCAGAGGCAGCACTCAGCACGAAGGCCCTGTGGGGCCAGTCTGCACAGGCCTGGCCCGCCTGCAGATCCTGGGTCCTCATCACAACACTAGTCTACTTTTATAACCAAACACCCCTTTACACGAGCTACTCAAACACATCTCACCAGGATCCCTTTTTATCCAATTTACTTACTACTGGGTATATTTAGGAATCTCAAAGAGGCCATGACAGGGCAGTGTTAACTGAGAAACGGTCCAAATGACCACTGGAGATGGCTGAGGTGCAAAGCAGAAGTCCGAAGGCCTGGGTGGCTGAGCTCCCCAAGGAGACCACCACGCAGGTTACCTGCGAGCTTCAGGCTTCTGTGTGATCAGGCAAAGCACTCTTCCCCATAAATCGAAAACACTGCTGACACAGAAATGATACTCAGTAAGTATTTAATGAATGAGTGGACAGGTGGAAAAAGGGGAGAAGGCTGATATTACAAATATAAACTTTGTCAGCACTTTTAAAATAATAGCAAATACACTTAAATACATACAAAGTTTATTAAAAATAGGCTGCAACTGAAATACAGTAGAAATGGAAGACTACAGCAGTTTCGATGTTTTCTCCATAGTAATGCAGTTATGTGAAGCACTTCTACACGTATTCACATTTGACCTAATTTTCCAACGATGGCCAAATCCACTTGTTTATGGGTTTTACAACCACAAATACAAATATCTCTGTATGTAGATATTTACATGTATTTGTATGTACTTATGTGTATTTGTCTTTCTATGTATTAACAGAACAGTAAATCATTTTCATCATCTTTTTTCTTTAAAGAAAGTGTGGATTTAGCCACCATAAGGCTGCCAGTGTTCTCAAGATACTTGGGAGGAGCTTGCTTCTCCTAGAATTTCTAGAGCAAACATGCAAATCCTTCATACACACTTAGAACCATTTTACTCTCTTACTTAAACAAATGAGATGGTAAAAGCACACTTTCAAATAAGAACCCTGATAGACATAAAAAAAATATTTACACCAGCATTTTCAATGATTTATCATACAACTCTTACTAAAAGTGATTTCTAAGGCAATGGAAGCCTCTCATCTTCTACTTGAAAGTGTGCATATTTTTCTAACATACATATTTGTAAGAGAACAATATGGTACAGAACAATCACCTGGACCCCACATTAGGGCTTTGTCAAATAGAAAGTTTGCCTGTAATCTCACAAAGTAATTTGTCTCAGCATCACACAATATAGAACAAATTGAGGTCCGTCTCCCCAGCATCAGCCATAGATCCACAGCTGAAGAAGTGACAGTGGTAACTAGTAGTTCAACAAATAAAATTAAATAACTATATTATACTGTAAAAAAAATAGCTTGAACTGCCTTGAGTTATTCTTACATTTAAATTACAAATGCCATAGGTAATTGAATTCCTTCTTTCCTCTGACAGCATGTAGATGTAAATCTATTTCTTTTTCAAATTTAAAATTTCTGAGCTATAGCTGCACTTGAGTGTCACCTATTAATCGCCTGTTCTTCTCAGACATTTTTGTTCCTAGTCACATGAACATTGTTCAGCTAAAGATACCCTCCTTTGCAGATCCCTTGGGATATCTGAAATATTATTTAACTTTCTATCATAACTATCATCTTCAAATTCACCAATGATTAATTATCTAACAGTAATCTGGTATTTATAAAAATAATACCTCGTAAGTGTAAAGCCTCAAACTTTTCTTCTTTGGGAATGTTCACTAAATATTCAGAACAGAGCAGGAGGGCTTAGGAATGAGATGGAACAGCGGTGGATATGTACCGCCTTACTCACAGAGAGCTTCAGGCCACGCTGCTTCATGACACAACTATGAAGGACAGCACGTGGACAGACACCGCCAGGTGAAGCGTAAGGAGCATGTTTATGTGTTCTCCTGTACAATAGTTGGGGGTCGCTACCAAATAGTGCAAACACAACAGTCTGGGTAGTTCAAGCTATTCTCTGTTTGATAGTAAAATAAAGTTTTTGGAAAAGAACAGAATAGAAACTTCTTTGTCTGTACTCTTGGTCGATTATGGGGACATGGTAAGAAGAGACATCCCATTACCTTGGACTGCCCTTCTTCACTCTGTCTCCTTTGAACTCAAGACTCCAGAAAAAGGAACAAAAAAGTCACCTTCATGTGAGTCAGATAATTAAGAAATCAGACAGTGTTTAAATAGTATAAATGACAATCTCTTGGTAAAGTAAAATAAAATTTCTTGGAATTGGAACATCTCTAAACCCTAACCATTTTAAACAGAAATTATAAGTCACTTAGACATAGAACCTCCCCCTTCCCTCTTCAAACTCACACCTGCAAACCCACAACTGAGAAAATTTGGGGGCAAATACAAGATGCCCTTTTCCTATTTTTTATTTTGTGTTCAGTTCATTTTCCAGTTCTGTTAATTTACGAGAAGCTTTTACTTTATTTGACACATCTTGACCTTGTGAAAAAAGACGCTGGCGCTCTTTGAATGTCAAGTTTTCAGGGGCTCCAGAATTTCCAGGTAAATCTATATCTTGGCTGCAGAAGAGGGAAAGAAAAGATTACTAGTCAAATAGAAATAACTCATCAACAATTAGGTAAATTTGCATAATGAGCAATTAATTAAAACTTTCAGTGACAGAGACTCATTCTTTGATAAATTTTGTTATAACATTTCCTATAATTAAAATTATTGAGGCTATATTTAAACCCATGCAGAAAAAACGGCAAAATGTTCTCCTTATTAAAATGTTAACTTTACCTAGTCATATTCACCTCTCAAAAAACAAATGAGTTAAATTTTAGCAAGCAGGTAGTTCTTACCACCTAAACAAATTTCACTAAAGGAGTACAGCTATGAAATATAGCATTTTAGTGAATCTTACATGTATCTGAAAGGCATCTAGAAATACATCTAATTTAATAAGCTACAGGATGGTACTGCAGACTTTTCTGAATAGTTCAACTTCAGTGTTTTAAGACTAGTTAGAACAACAGCATTTCTAACTAAGATCCAGGGGAGGCGGCTCTGTGAGGACATGCAGCCTATTTATCTTCTGTGTGCCATCAGGGCTGGCCTACGTAATACAGCAAGATCCTGGGACGCTGCCCTAGGGCTCCACCTCCGCTGGTGGAAGCAAACGTTCTGACTGGAAAGCCAGTTGCCTACACTGCCATCTAAAACTATATCAGCAACAAAAAGTTTAAGAAGCCTATATGCTCACCTGATTTTGTACAATGGGAAACATCTGAGCTGAGAATGAAGTCTTTGAAATTTCAACCCAGCCTTATACAATTTAAAAACGCCATGAGAAATGGAAAAAGTCATCAGTTATAGATGATGTTACCAGTCCAGCACAACTGTAAATACCTTTTAGAGCATTTCTCTCTTGCATCCCGATAAGCTTCATGGGCTCCGATAACTGTTCCAGTAGATACCGTGTAAGGGTTTGGTCCTTTTCCATAAAAGAAAAAGTCAAAGTTAGAGTACATGAATTCCCAAAACTTTGCTCATGATAAAGATGCAGCGCCCACAGAAAAATAAGATATCTTTGCTGAATAAATACAAAAGCAAATGAAAGATACAATTTAAAATCCACATCTTTTAGTGGCCTGAATAACCCAATCATTAGCTTCAAAAAGTGCTAAATAATTGACCTTGTGCCCTTTATTATTAGAGAGGAAAACTGTAATGAATACATATCAAAAAAGTTCAAATCAGATAAAATGCATAATTATGCAAACGGAGACATCAGCAAAACTTTTCAGACATGCTCCTGACACTAAGAATTTTCTTACAAAATCATTGGGAGCGAATGCAACCCAAAGATTACGAAGTAATCACATGACTGAAGTTGTTCTTTTCAGGGTAACTATTGAACTTATTTTTCAAGATAAATGGCTGCAATTATTTAAGTCACTGACAAAATAAAAACGAGACTCAAAGCAGCATGCTGTGAGAAAAGGACTGGTCAGGCCCCTGACCTGGATCTGCCTTAGACCAGCTGGGTGACTGGGTGAGCAGGACATCAGCCAGGTTGGCAGCAGCACCATGTGTACCACTGACTTCAGCAGGCTGCTGAAGATAGAAGAGATGATGCTGATGAAATGTTTTAAATGCATTCAAGTTTAAGATAATAGTCACTAATATATTAAAATTATAATGCAGTAAATCAGCCTGAGTGTATTCCTACTCATTGTAACATCAGCAAGAAAAATTCACATTTGAAAAATCTTCTGCCTAAAATAAAATAGGCTGGAGTTACAAATGCTCAAAATATTCAGCAATCATTGATAGCACTGAACATTGAATTACACAGGCCACAAAATTATCACAATGTTTTTACATTAAAATTCTCATTATTAAACAGGCTGAACAAAAAAGTAATTTTTATGTTTCTATTCCACGTAAAAGGACCTGCTGTGCAGAACTTATGTGACATATTAGCACAGCTGCCTTTTGAATGGCACCTCTTCACACTGCACCTTTAACTTACTATTAGCCAGGTTTCCCACAATCACTGTATAGGACACCATCCTCAGCAAAGACTCAAAAGATTAAACAAAAACACATCAGTACCTTAAGACAATCCATAGTGGGCCTTTAGATAACTGCATGGTGGGATTTTTCCGATTTTACTCCCAAATTTTTTATTAATTTTGTTTGTTTTTAAAATCACTGTGTTGTATCTTTTGAGCTTTGTTTTAATGATGACATTGGTTTTTTCCACTGATAAACATCAATTCTTCAAAACTTTTAGAACTTTTAGAGTTAATTAGAATATCAAATACTTTTGACTATATATGAACACTATAGATTACAAATAATTTTCAAAGAGCCTTTAGGAACAAATCTTCTTCTACTGCGTTGCTGTGCTGAAATCCAGTATTATTCATTCTAGCTCACATCCTAATCCACTGCTCACACCCCTCAGTGGAAGAGACCAAGCCCGGTCTGCAGAAGCATGCTGTACCAGAGTGCTCACAAAAGAAAGAGCTGAACACAGGAATGTGGCAATGTTAGTGAGATGAAGAGGTGGCGAGGTCAGAATGTGTTCTGCACGCGGGGCAGACAGCGGTGTACTTTACGAAGGAAGTCTTCCGAGAGGCGGAGGAACCAGATGCAGGACATAACCTGCTCCTACATGGTACTTTAGGTGTAGAATAAAATAAGGATTAGTGAAATGACTGAGAGTCAAGATGGTTAGAAGTGACATCTAACTACAATATTCCATACCAAGCCTCATATTTATTTGTGTCACGGAACTTGTAAAATATCTGTAGTTCAGCTTATAAAATTTGACACAAAGACACCGATGGCATCTTGCTTCAAAATTTACTATTATTCCATATATGTCTTTTAAAAGTCCCAAATTCTATCTATTTACAACAGTAATTTTACAAAAAGATTTAATATTGGCTTTCAAAGCGACTCAACATAAACATCTTTATATATTCAAAGCTCTGATCCAGGTGGGAAAAAAGAATTCTGGCAAAACTCATTTGTTATGTAAGAGTCATAGTTACACCAGTCTTAGAATATGCAACTTCTTTCAGAATTGAGTCCCATGCACTGTTTATGCAGACATACAGCATTTATGAGACTCTTGTATTCATTAAATGTAACATTACTCTATTAGAGGATGTTTAGTGCCACAATTCCAATTCCATTTATAGTAAGACTGGCATGAAATCTGAATCCTTATAATTTAGTTATATTTTAAACGTAACATCTAGTGCTGTCTCAAAAACTGACTCCCAAATGTTATGTCTTGCAGTAGCCATTAGGTCCTGGCACAGGCTCTGCAGTCAACTGAGAGGGTTTTAACTAGGGGCAGCTGCATGCCTACTCAGGTTTGGCAGCTGGCGCTGTGAGGTGCTGAGAAGGTAAAATAACAGAAAGTAACGAAACCCGAAACCTGCTAGAGGGGGAAGGAAACGAGGATTTCACTACCATTAGGACCTCTGGCCCTGTTGTGAGGCAGCCTGCATTGAGGTCATAAAGCCGTACCCATTAACCAGCTTAGCAGATGCTCTGACTACACCAACCAAACTGCCACGAACGGTATGATTCATTCCATAAGCCACTTATCCAGAACAAAAAGCTCTACTCATGTTACATAATGGAAACTTAGAATGTAACTAACACTTTATCTTTAGAGACACTAACATGCATGAAAGGGCACTTGTTCAACCAAATATAAAAGGTATAGAATAAAAAGGTAGAGAATGAAAGCCAAGACCAACAGTACTTCAAGTGATTTAGTGAACAGTGGAGAAGGACTGATTGCTGTCAGCTGATCAAAGAAATGCAACTTTTTAAAATATAAAAGAAATTGTAGTGCTAAGACATTTATCGAAAAAGAATATTAACACAGACATTACAATCAGAGGCAGAGGGAGATCACCATGCTAAGATCAGCGATCAAGAGAAATCCAAATTCCAAAGCAAGTGTGACCGTGATGGACCATACTACAGTGGCAAGTATGCAGAGAGGCTGATTCCAAGGTTCCAATCATGAAGACAAAAGACGATTTGATTCGTCATTCTATCTTTTACCTCTACCTTTGGAGTGGCGGGGATGGCAGAAGCTGGGTTTTTTTGGAGGGGGCGGGAGCTGGCCTGTTTTGTGAGCAGTACTGTTGGCTTTGGCTGAGGGTGGCTGGAGTGAGTTGGAGAGAAAGATGCCATCGGAGGCCGGGCGTGGCTGGCAGGAGGGCTGCTGTGGCTTAAGGGCGGTGGGAGGAAGAGACTTTTTCCTGCTGAAGCACTTATCCTGACCTGCTGGGCCGCAGTCCTCCTCCTCCTCTTCCTCCTCCTCGTTGTATGCAACAAACTTGGCAGTGAACAGCGAGTCAGGGGAGAGGACCTGTGTTTTGAGGTAGGAGGCATTTCGCTGAGGTGGGGGAGGAGGGGCGCCGGGTGCAGGGGGCGGGGATGGGGGTTCGTAGTCCCGCGGGAGTGGAGGTCGGCACAGACTGGGCTCCTCGGGCTCCAACAACCTGCGCGCCGCCTCGTCGTGCTGTCTGCGCCTCTCAGCTTCCAGGCGGCTGTAATACCCCTCTTCCTGTCGCCTCTGCAGGCGGGAATAGACAAGAGTGCACAGGTCAGAGGTCAGGAGGGGACCAGCTGACCCACTGGGCCTTCACAGGAGTGTGAGATGTTCTGACCCATCAGTCCCCATCAGCACACTGACAATGAGTCCACAGGACATCAAAGTTCACATGTCACAACGACTGTAACAGAAGCGGCAGGTCAACTGTAAACAGTCTTCTCTATCAAGACTTACAAATGCATTCAGACTACTCTGGGTTATTTGAAATAAAACTGCTCAAAAGCACAGAATGAGTTAACTGTCAGCCTCCCAACTCCTAATCACTGTCCTCTTCCAGTCATCCAACCAGACTTTTGTTCTTCTCTGCTCTCCTTCCTTCCTTGTCCTCTTTCTCTCTCTCACCTCCTGTTTTCGGTAGGATAGTAACTTACCTGTTACTGCTGTATTTAAAGACAGCATAAAACTAAAAACAGGCTACAACTGGCTTTCTGTGGCTGGCACTTTCAGAGGGAAAACTTCCATACTTTCTCACTGAACCCAGTGAGTTCAGAATAGCAGTCCTTCCTACACAGGAGGACGTGACTAAACCACCCAGTTTACTTCCAGCTACTGGAAGGAAAATTAATAGGAAACCACAAACTGAAAAAAAAAAAGTGCTCATTTTCCCAAAGCAACAGTCTAACAAATACGCTTTCCACAGTTCTTAATTTATATTTCAAATCTTAATAAACTCCCTGACAGACAGAAAATGAGAGAGCCAGGCATTAATAGCGACAGTAACAAGATATTCAAATATATTTTACACATACTGTACATTTTTTCTGACATACATCTGCACAAACTACAGTTGACAGTGTTAAAATTCTTTTAACATTATAAAAGGTAACAACAGCACAGTTTTGTTAAAGATTGACAAAAGTTTTAAGAGCACAACAAAAAGAGTAAATAAGGAAGGGAATGAAAGATCAAACAGAATAACCCTCCTTGACTTGAATCAGTGCCTGCGCTGTGAAAAGAGTACCACAAATTTTAAATCCATTTAACCAGAGAGAACTAATTCTAGGGACCTTTCTGGCATCAGGATAAAAGTTTTGGTCCCTATTTTAATGTTTATGCTGTATTTTCTCCCTGCTCCCTCTAAAGCCATGCACGCACGCACGCATGCATACACACACACACAGTGGACACACAATGGTCACTGCTTCACCTTCGGGGGGAAGAAAACCCCAAGAGCAAACGCCAGCCCCAACTGTTATCCTGGAGCCAACTTCTTGCTCTATGTTGAGAAATTCTAAAGGAAAAACATTTTTATCTTCTTGTCTACACAAAGTAAGTTTTCCCTTGAGGTGGAAAATCAGAACAGAATGACTTCTGTGGCTTTTAAATGGAATTGTCAAAAATCTTAGTATTACATGAAGGATGATTGCTTGATAACATTTTAGGGAAAAACCAAAACATCCTCTTTTAAGTTATACCAAGAACAGATACAATTACATGACCCAAGATGACATTATTCTACCTAACAAATGAATGGCACATTTTTTATAGCAAAGCAAAACCATCAATTTTGGACATTCTGTATTAAAAAAATAGGTTATTTAGCATCTTTTTACAGTGACCACTCAATTATAGAAGCAGTTACTAAAACACAAGTGCATTCAACTTCATCATGAGTTGTGAGAACACATGTTGGAAAAGTTAAATACCCCAAGAGTTTCTCAGCACAGAACACATAGCCTGGTCCTCTTCTCCATGCACACTGCTCTGACGTGACAGCCAGGCTGCCCCCACCACAACCCTGCTGAGGGTGGGTGGGACCTAACTAGAGCATAGCTGGCACAGAACTGGAAAAGCACACCCCTGCAAACAGCCAAGGGGCCTTCCACAGGGAGCAAACACCACCACCACCAGGAACAGTTAGACATCAGGTGGCCCAAATTTTGGAAATCTGATTTCCTTAGAAAGATCATCAATTTTGATTAACCATTAAACAAGTGAAAGACTCATAGGGTAATCTAATCCTGAAAGCTCAAACTTCTTGAGAATACTTCAAAACTGTTTAGATACGACAGCTAATATAATGAACTTTAAGGGAGGGTAAAGGTCTATACAACACAGAAATCACTAATTTCAATACAGGTATGTAAGATAATGTGTCCTTACATTATTTACTTTCATGTAAATGAGTCACATCAAGTCTACCAATCTTACTTAGACTGTTCTGTATTCTAACAGATAGCATCCCTACAAAAAGCTTCCTAAAAGTTCTTTTTCTGGAGGATGGGGTTTTCTATTAATATAGTTCACTGGATTATCAAGGAAGGCATTACTAATAAAAACTAAATTTTTCCCCACCAGAAGTTGTGACACTCAAAGCTTCTACCTTCACAGAAGGGAAGTAATAGAGAAGAACAGCTTCTCTCAAACCACATACAGCAACATGCAACCCCCTCTGCACAGGACAGACCCCACAGTGAGGTCCACAGTTATAGCTTCCGCATCCCAGAGAACTCAGCTATGAACACACAAGACAAAGAGACTCAGAGAACAACATCTCAAAGTTCCCACTTCTCAGAAGTTCCCATCTCTCAGAATGTTAAAATGAGTTGTCTTTAAAAATTCAATTAAAAGGATTAACTGAATTTTAAAAAAAATATGGAAATAACTCAGAATACTTATCAGATTGTATACTAAATTTTCCTTGTATAATGTTTTTATAAGCCTTCTGCTTTCTTTACCATCAGCCAGAATTAAGTAATTTCAGTAAATAATCTATTTGAAGTGTTTGATGCTGACAGACTGTCTCACTATTTTCCTATTGCCTCCTATGGTTCAAACTCAATTTAAACAGTACTGGAACAAATTACCAACTTCACAATAACAAACTAGACCACGTCCAGTAAAGATTAAAGCCCCAAGTAAACAGACCGTTTGCAAAGGGGCTCACTGCTAAACAGAACTAAAAGTTCAGAAGTTTGAGGGAGACAAAATTCAGAAGATAAGGGAATCTGGAGACAGTCCACAAGAGAGGTAGGTGGGCCAGACAGGGCTAAAGTTTTTGGTCCAGGAACAAAAGCTGGGGTCCAGGCCCTGTTCTGTCTTGAGCATCTTAAGACACATGTAATTTCTAGCCCCCTTGCCCCAGCCAATCGGTTATGTTTGGCTAATCTGGTCAAGTGCTAGCTGCCCTCAGAGGACCATGACCTTTTCTTCAGCATCTCGCTTCACCCGCTCCTCCTCCTGCCGGCGTCGCTCCTCCTCCTGCCGGGCTCGGTCTTCCGCTTCCCGCTTACGCATCTCTTCCAGCTGCTGCTGCCGTCGCCGCTCCTCATCCTGCAACTAACAAAACACTGACTTCAACTTTCATTCAACAGACTCCACCAACACAAGACCCAAAAAGCATATATTAAGGCAAGCAGACACACACAGACACACACAGACACACAGAGACACACACACACACACACACAAAGTTAAATACAAAATACCAGCTTAAAATCACTGTTGGAAGACAATAAAAGTTACACATCTCATAGCTCTATAATTTCAGAAAAAAAATTTTGTTTCCACAGTCCCAGAGTTATTCTTCCATTAACATGGCTCAAAGAAGGCATTTATTTTATACATTCACACATTAAACAAGCATGATTCTTTTGTTAGGATAAATTTAAGTTACGAAGGCTCAAACAACAGACAGACCCCCCCACTTTATGGATCTATGGAACACATTCAACCGCCTTCTTCTCCTACCCACTTTTGAAAATTTTCCACTATGAATGTCAAGAAAAAGGCCCCACTCTTGGGATATGTGGGAGGTAGTACCCCCCCCTTGGTGGGTGGGGCTGTGTGCAATGCAGAATCCAGTGGACCAGGGCTAATGAGAGCCACATGCAACAACAGCCTGCCTTTCTTGGGGACCAAGGGTCTAGCACTCCTCCTCCTCTGGTCCTCTGCCATCTACTCCCCAACCTGGACTTCAAAAATTCCTTCCCAGCTCAGTGATAATACCCCCAAACTGAGTCACAGAATCTGAACCTGAGATTTGGGAGGAACCTAATTCTAACTCTCTTTCATCTGAACACTTCCAGTGTTTGGGAACCTGTTGTCAACCACCCTATAGAGTACATTCTATTTTCAGGTTAATGGCTGTCAAAAAGTTATAGTGGTCTACAATTCATCACCTGATTGTTTTCCTATTTTGGGTCATTCAAGTTCTGCCTTTTGAAATAACACAAAAATTTAATACCTTTCTTTAAAACCATTCAAATACTCCATGATATCTTCAAATACCTAAAATGTACCTTCCTTTGGCTTTTTATTTCCTTTATCCTTCCAGTTACATTTCTCTCTGTACATTTCTTTCAGTACAGGCTGAAAATATGTCTTCCAAGAAGGAACCCTGGATTGCCAACCACAGCAAGACAGAATAAGACTCTCCCTTTTCGTCATCTCAATAGACAGCTATTTCTGTTGTTATGGCCTAAGATAACAGTAACTTTGGAGTCTGAATTCTCCATTTCCTTCTCATCTGGTATAGACCTAGGCTACAGGAACAGCCACAGCTACACTATAATAATATCAATATCAAAGGGAGTCAATTCAAAATTTCTAAAATTCAAATGGAACTCAAAGCCATCTAGTTCAATCTCTAACCATTGTAGGAATCCCTTACATAAAATACCTTAAGATATGCTTCAATTTCTATAGAATCACCAGTTTTTCTATAAGTTGTTTATAACAAAAATTTAAAACGTTAACTTCTGGATTTCAGTTGTATTTTTTTAAAAACAAAAATCTAACAATGTCATTCTTCCTTGATTTCTGTGAAACAAAACAAAACAAAACAAAACACTGTATCTGGTGGGAAAGAATAAATTAACCTTTATTATTAGGCTCTTTCATGAGAGCAAACAATAACAAAACACCTTAAGGAAGAAATGTAAAATTGCATTAATGCAACAGGGGTGTTTCCTGTATCCAATAAAACACAAACTAATTTCACTGTTATATGTTCTAGACCTAATTAGAAACAAGTTTTGAACAAGAAAATATTATACACTAATATAACCAATTAATTCTTTTAAAGTAAATAGGAATATAATCTTATGACAATTATAATCATTCTGATTTCTTAAGTGCAAATGCTATCTAATAAATTTATAAACAGGCATTTTCTCTCAAAAACCTTCATTCTTTAAAATCTAGATGGAGGTAAGCAAGCAGGAGCCTTCTCTTGTGTTCATTAGTTACTACTTTTCAAGTAGTGCAAACTAACCAGCATTACTATAATTAAGGCATTTTCTTTCCACTACCTTGGCTAATTCATGTATTTTTCATTTCCAAAACTTAAATTATTTTGTTCTTTAAAGATATGAGAAAAGAGAATTTACTCAAAACAATGGCTCAAAAGAGTACACTGGCTGTATGATTTACTGACATTCAGTAACAGTTAAAGGGTATTTCAACTTACAAATTTTTTTTTTTTTTTTTTTTTTAAAGATGACCGGTAAGGGAATCTTAACCCTTGACTTGGTGTTGTCAGCACCACGCTCACCCAAGTGAGCTAACCGGCCATCCCTATATAGGGATCCAGACCTGTGGCCTTGGTGTCATCAGAACCACACTCTCCCAAAGTGAGCCATGGGCTGGCCCTCAACTTACAAATTAAATCACTCTGCAATCCAGTCACAAATTGACTGTCACATTAACACTGTGAATTCAGTCAAAAGGAGAGCTCATTGTTTTACAGTAAAAGAATGAAAAGATACATGCTATCGAAGCAGCCTTATAGGAAGTAACATGGGAAGAGATCAGAATAAATAAAAAATACCTATTACCTAATGAATAAAGACAGTCCAGCTAAAATTATTCCGATCAAGAAATGTGCTGGGACTTCAAAGCCAGCATGGAAGCTTGAACCAAAGTGTTGCTATACTGGCAGTCTATGTTTCTAAAAGATGTATTTTTAGGTTAAAAAAAAAAGTATGTTGAGATCTGTGTGTTTATAATTTTGTATCACAGGTATCTTTAACTTACTTAGATCTTTAATTTACTGTTAACTCATATCTTTACTATAGAAATCCCATTAAGATAGAAAACCATGTTTAGGTATCTGAACATAAAATAGGGTCATGATAACCTTTACTTTTTGATGTTTTCACTGAAAACACAACTCAAAGTCTGTTTGTTTTTTTTTTTTTTTTTAAATAAAAGATGACTGGTAAGGGGATCTTAATCCTTGACTTGGCGTTGTCAGCACCATGCTCTCCCAAGTGAGCAAACCGGCCATCCCTACATAGGGATTTGAACCTGTGGCCTTGGTGTTATCAGCACCACACTCTCCCAAGTGAGCCACAGGCCAGCCCCTCAAAGTCTGTTAAAGCTCGTTAAAAACATTCTTCTATACAGAATTTTTCTCTTTATGCTCCCTCCCACTAAAACACCCATCCTAAAAAATTTTTAGGCCCCAAAGTGAAGAAAACCCCAGATGCCTGGGCATTCACTACTATAGGCCGTTGCTACCCTAAGCCCTGGGTTCAGAGCCCAGGTCTGCAAATAATCAGCTATTTATCCATGAGAAAGTTCATTCTCTGTCTAGGGTCAATTTCCTCATTAGGAAAACAAAGTCCTCTCTCACAACAGTAGTATGTACTGAATGACACAGGGAAAACCATCTACGGTGGCAGTCAGCACTCAGTAAACAACAGCTCCCTTCCCTTAACCCGTACAACATTTTTTAATTTAAGGAAAACGACAATTTTTTCAGAGGTTATAAGATCTAGAGCTTAGCTGCTGACATACCCTTATGGCAGAGACACAACAGAGTAACCCTCTAGCAGGCTGGTGTGGCTCAAATTGGCCCAAGACATACACTTGAATTTCTTTGGGGACAACTGTTTTATCTTACACAATCATACAGATCTTGTGTTTTACTCCATAATATATACATGTTGGTCTTACATGAACACGTCTCTCCTCCTAATTCCCTGAGCTGACCTTTCTTGAGAAGATTCATCGTGCCAATCCCATGGCTTTGATGTACTGGGAAGAGCCCATTTTCATTACAGAGGTACCCCAATTTGAACAGGCAAAATACAGTCTGACTACTACAGACAGGTCTCTCTGAAGATGTAATTCTCAAATTAGGTTTCCTACTAATTCTTGCTTAGAATTTTCATGAGGGTTTTGATCCAACCCCTTCTCCACCTGAGGCGCTCGAGAGGGGCAGGCTCCATTTCTGAAGTCCTTCCTGAAGCTGGACAGGAAAGCAGTACATCAGGCAAGAGCCACTTTACTTTTCATATGAGGAAAACAGAAGAGCCGCTGAAACCTTTGAAAACATCACCTTTGAAAACATCTCCGCAGTGGCATTACCCTGAGGGGAAGGGACTTTTCCTATGAGTTCTCATGTTACCTGATTCAGCAGACAACCATTAAAATGTGGTAACAAGACCAAGCTGAGACTCGCCACTGAGACTGTCAGGCCAAGAACAAGTGTACCTCAAAAAGTTCATGAAGATTCCTATTATCTTTTAATTCTATTTTTCCCAACTTTCTGAAGTGTGCTCATGCATTTCTAGTTGAAAAACAGTACCTAGCAATACAGTTTTATGAAAAGGAGGCATTTTTGTGTAGTAGAAAGAGTACCTAAGATGAACTTAGAAAACTGCTCAGATCCCTGACTTCTCCCCAGAGGGAGAGACAGAGTACAGTGACAAGAGGACAGATGGGAAAGGCCCTGGAGGCATGAATGCTTCATCATAACCTGGCACTGAGGGGCTCTCCCCAGCAAGTTATACTTTGGCTTGAATAGGAATTATACACCATTTTAGTAATTAAATTTGGTGAGAACCTAATAACAGCTTTATTATTGGTCTTCTAATGAAGGTCATACACCTTCGGGAGCTTGGGAATTTGGTCCCAGGATCGTGTTCCATTCACTCAGCATTACTGGCTACCCACCACAAGCCAGAACTCTTCCAGAAACTTAAACAGACAAAGGTCACTGCTCCCATGGAGGTGCGTGCTACCCAGGAGAGATAAACAGAATGATGATGAGTACTGTCCACAGTGCGTCAAAGGATGGTGGGTGCTCTAGCCAACAGGCAACGTGTGTGAAGGGCAGGCAGGAGTGGAGGGATGGGGGGCACAGGCCACACAATGAAAAAGCGCAGGCAGTGTGGACCTCATTGCAAAGGTGGTGTCTAAGCTAGACTTGCATGGGGTGCCATGGCGATCCCTGGGGCAGGGCAATGACCTTTGGGTGGGCACTGGCCCAGCGCAAGGTGGGCAAGCGGGCTGGAGTGGAGCACGCATGAAGGAGGATACAAGGCCTGGACAGACCCAGCAGCACCTGTAGGCCCCAGGAAGATGTGGAATGTCTGTCTGCATGAAGGGGTGCCTCATTTAGGAGGGATATGAGGATTTTCTCCTGGGATTGCAGCAGCTGCTAGGTAGAGAATGCCCCAAGAAGGGACCATGGCAGAGTCGAGGGGTCCTGCCAGTTTCCCACAGTGACCCAGGCAGGAAAGGATGGTGGCTCAAGCCAGGGGTGACGTAGAAGTGGTCAGGTTCTGAGGACCTCAAGCCAGTACAGTTTCTGAATGGAGAGACAAAAAGTTGTCATGAATGACTGTAAGGTTTCGCGACTGAACAACCGGAAGCACCAGCTGAAGTGGGGATGGCTAGAGGCAGAGTGATCGGCAGTGTAGATGGAGTGCCGGAGAGAAGGAATTTAGTTTTTAAGGTGCTGAATCTGACTCCACGTGGAGATGTTACATAGGTGGATGGTCAATGAGTCTCAGGTGTGCCAGAGGTTTGGATTAGAGATTACGAGGGGATGCCACCGGCACCAGTAAAGTACTACTGTCACAGATCTGGAGTCAGCACAGAGGAAGGAGGGGGCAGGCCCCAGACTGATGGGGGCGATGAGCCAATGAGAGGTCAGAGGGAAAGAGCAGAAACCAGCCTAGGCAGCCCACAACCTTATGAAACTCAGGTGCTCCAAACAGGAAAAGTCCTGCCTCGTTTATCCCATTAGTCACCTAAAAATCCTGTGATGTGCCAAAGAAAACACATTAAGAACTGCACAGGGCAGTTGAACTCCCTATATGGTCATGAATTTGCCATTATCCTTATTATCTCAAAGAGAGGACTGATATCTTAACAGGAGAGGTGCTCCCAGGGTAACCTGCCAATTCTGATATAATAAGAATTCTACAGATAATGACATTGTTGTCAATAATATTAATATATACTGGGGAATTAGGCTAAGAATTGCTCAGAAACATGATGGTGAAGATCAATATTAATACTCAAAATACTATCTTTTAAAGAAAGAAAAACTCTGATTTCTTTGAAATAAGAATAATGGTTGCAATAAGATTTTTAAGTATTATTATTATTCTGTCACAGAAGTCTTCATAGCATAAAAAACTCTCTTTGGGCTGTAGAGCTGGCTAGTTTCTTAGACAGTGTCTCAGGTGGTTATCCTCCATGCAATGGAAGCTGAGCATGTATTTGCTAAATGAATCTCACATAAAGAAATAACTCTAATCAATGTTTTCCAGCTACACCTACGTACACCTCAGTACACAGAGAAGGAGAGAGAAAAATGTATATGTTTTATTATCTTGGTTTCATGTAAAAAAAAATTTTAAATGCAGAGCTCAAAATATATGCCTTCTAATTGCCAAGGTGGAAAGACGTTTGCAAGAAAAGTTTCGTTTTGGGGTGATATTGCCACCATGGTATACAAATTGGAAAAAAAAAAAAGAACTGTTATTTAGTGAAAAGGCCACTAAAGTCAAACCTTTAGGGATTTTTTAAAAGTATTACCTAATATTGACTCTATATTATTTATAAGTTGACTAGGAAAAAGTATTGACTTAAAGTTACTATTAATATATCAGATAGAATATAATTGTATAGCAAGTGACATAGATACAGTCAGTACTTGAGTATAATGGGTACTAAAATGAACAACCAAACTTCCCCAATACTGATGATATACACATTGAATCTACAACAGAGGCTGACAAGTATTTTTTGGCAGACTAAATTGGTATGGCTGATAAATTAACATCCATGAGATATTATTAAAGAAAATGCATTTGTTCACTAGAAATCTCTCTTACTCTACCAATAGACATGACATCTTAGTTACATCTTAACTGGCAAACAGTGTTACACCCTTTCAATTGAGTTTACAACTGTTAAATACTTAAAATCTATTTCTATATAACAAGAATGAAATAGATTACTCTGAGCAAAATTACTTCATTTGTTCATGTATTTATGACTACATAAGAGTACACAGAATAAATTTATGACTAAAACTGAGAAAAGGTCAAAACCATAAACAAACAGTAACACAATTAACAGAGAAAAGCAAAGAGTTACTAAATCTAGTAACATTCAAAGGCATGCTTCTAGAGTCACAGGACTACATCTCCTGACCAAGGACACCCCTAAGGAGAACTAGATCTACTGAAAACATAAAACCACCACCACTAAAAGAAAAAAGAAAATCAAGACAGGAAAAAAGTACCAAAGTGAAAGAAACAAGAACATACCAAATCTAGAACAGAGATTGCTGGCACAGCAGTCTGCTGCAGGTGACAGAGAAGGAAAAAAAAAAGAAAGATGAGGTGTGAAAAAGAGTTAGGTTCAGACCTGCACTCCACCTGTACTGGTATACTTTGTTGCTATCACGCTTCACCTATTTTTGGACAACTGGAGGAGAGAAGTAAAGAACTACAGACTAACTTCTAGTATGCAGAAATAGAAAGACCTCCATACAGTATTAAATATGTGAGTCTCATCATTAATATAAAAACTAAAAAAACCATAATTTCTCTTAGTGCTCTTATCTGGAGACTAAGATGTTAATTTAAATATCATTAATGACAGAAAACCCACAAATACTTTTTACTAAATTTTCATAAGAAACTTTCCGAATATCATAATTCATACTAAAGTCTTTAAAACTCAACGTTTTGACCATGTGGAAAAACTGACAGACCTTCAAATAAAAATTCAATCCTCACAGAAAAGAATTATTATAGAAACACTATGATACAGTTGCTAATTTTTCAATCTTGTTGGGATACAGTTATAATAATAGAAATACTGTCTACTTATTTGCCATAAACAATAGCTATATATACAAACTTTGAACTGCAGTAAAGGCAAAGCCATCCTTTTCTTATATTTTAGGGTGTGGATGATACAAGGCCATGGATATATTTAGCTTTCTAACAAATACATCTTAAGGAAGCACCGGGACACTGGCCAGCACAGAGGGAGGTATACTGGCACTGGTAGGCACAGACAGCAATTCACATAGCCAAGTGCCAGATGTTTCTGACCACGAAGTGGAAGTTGTTCAGAGAATCCTCATGGCAGAAGAACTTAGTTATTATCAAATAGTTGTTCTTTCATATAAAATAGTTCTTCTGGTAAATGTAGTCATTTTTTATAGTCAAATAAGAACATTTACTACTGATGACTTAAATACCAACAAAAACACCAATAAAACAATTAATAGTTAACATCTTGGCCTCACTTAAAGAAACTTAAGTGTCTGAGAGGGATTCAAACTGAATTTTGGGAAAAGTTATATAAACATTTGGCTGAGATATGTATGCATTAATTAGCGTGTGTGTGAGAAACTTTTCAAGAAAAATTCACAGAGCAAGGTGAGAAGGAATCACACTGCTGGGCTCTATGTACTCACTAATAAATATCTAAGATTAAATTTCATCATGAGTAGAAAGATTAAAATGTCTGACATAACAGCCACTGGTTTAGATATTTAGTACAGACAGCATCAAAAAAGAGATGAAATTAGAAAGAAATCCAAAAGACAAAAAGAACATGCTTTTGGCCATCCTTCCTCAGAACACTGTACTATGTAAATAAATTTTTTAAAAACCCACTAAAACTCACTAACATGACTGATCAATAGCACTTTCCACAAATTAATACTAAATGCCCAAAATAATAATAGTAACAATAACAACTTTAAATTTGATGTTCTGAACAGTTTCCTGTGCTAACCTCTATTAAGCACTGATAATCAAGATCAGGGGCCAGCCACCTGCCTCATGTCTTTGTAAATAAAGTTTTATTGGCACACAGCCACGCCCATTTGTTGATGTAATGTCTGTGGCTGCTTTCCTGCTACAACAGCAGAGGCGAGTACACAGTTGATATGGCCTGCAAAGCCTAAAGTATTTACTATATCACCCTGTAAAGAAAAAATTTTGCCAACCCCTGATCAAGATTATTACTAGTCATTAACAAATGCTGTTTTCTCAACTGAAGCATTAATGAGAAGGATAATTGTGAGTCTGCAAATTAAAGCAATAAAGTTCCATTTGAATTGTATTTAATAATACTTGTCAAAGTATAGGTCTCAATAAATTTCAGTCTTACAGGCCTAGCTCATCTCTGTAGGAGAACATCAGCCAAATGTAATACATATAATAAAATATTATAAGCCTAAGGGCCTTTCTAATCCTTCACCAAGCTCACAGGCTTAGCTATCTCTGTAACAAGCACACAGAAGTTAAAATAGGGACCACAGATACGCACAACCAAAGCACTTTTCCCCTTTACCCTTGCTCTTCGTTCAGCCTCGAGGCGCTGCATGATCAGCATGGTGTCCACGTCATCGTCTTCCTCCTCCTCATCGTCCTCGTCCTTCTGCTTGGATTCCTGGAGTCTCTTCTGGAACTGCCACTCCAGCATCAGTTTCCGCAGGCGGTCGTTCTCCTCAGCGGTGCGGTCCGGTTTGCTCTGCAGCTCCTGGATCTCCTTGCTCAGCATATCCACAATGTGCATCTGCTGCTGCTTCTCCAGCTTCTCCTTGGCGTCCCGCTTCCACGGGTCTGGAGATAGACTGTCCCCGGAGGAGAGCTCCTCCTTGCTGACTGTGATGTACTGCAGGTCTCTGCGCTCAATGGTGCGGGGCTGCTGCTGGGGCTGAAGTTCCCGAATGACTGTTTCTTGGGGCCGCTGGAGCGTGGAAGGCTTTTCTGGCTTCATCTGCTGTGTCGTCAGGGGAGAGAATGGAGCAGGGTTTAGGGACTGAGTGCGCATCTGACCCAACTTCTTCTCCTGCTCTCTCCGCTTTCTCTCTCGCTCCTCTTCCAGTCGGGCCTTCTCCTTCTCATACCACCGCTGATGTTCTTCTCTCTTCTTCCTTTCTGCAGCAGCCACCTGAGCAGACTGTGGTCCTACCTGGCTGGCAGAAGGAGGGGGTGGGAGAGGCAAGTCCATCGGAATTCCATCAAAATCACTGGCATAGTGGGCTGGAGGTGGAGGGGGTGGTGGAGGCAGATCTGTTCGAATGGGCTGGGACACAGCCACAGGTGTGGGTGGCACAGCTGCTGGTGTCTTCCAGCGGCCAGGGCCGCTTTTGGTCAGAGTGGAAGCAGGGGTGACTGACTTAGAGGAGTGGTTCAGGTGCTCCTGGCTAGATGTACTAGATTCCACCGAGGAGCTCTGGTTTATCCACATATCACTATCAGACTTTCGATCTATAACTGCCTCTATTTGATGCCGCTCAAGTTGATAAGCTTTATCTTCTCGAAGTTCTTCTTGGGAACGGGTAACACGCTGGAAAAAGTAAAAAAAGAAATGCTATATTTTAGCCAATTACCAGAATAAATTACTAAAGATTCACAAACATTTTATCTCCAGAGAGGAAAAAAACTAGGAAAATTGTTAAATGAGTATACAGAATAGAGGCTGACTACACTATAGCTCATTGACTGTGGAATAACAGTGAATTTATCTGTAAGAAGAAGGAAAATCCCTACTTTCTCCCTGCATCACTGGCAAGAAAAATAAAATACACAAAATCTCAGGCACTTCCCTGCCAGTACCTTTCCTTAAGCTCCTCCAGCACCTTGCACCCTCTCTTTTGTGGGCTAGCAACACAACTCTGACTTCAAAAGAATGAGTATGTTTAGTCTGATTACATGAAAAGCAACCACAGTTACTCCTCTATAATGAAATTCTAGTTATTACTAAGAGTAGTTATTTTCTCTATCCACCACTTTCTGAATTTCACAAGCTGAGGGCTGGCTGTGTGGGCTCTTTGACATATCTACATATATAATAATGCAAAGTCAGGTCCTATACATCCAAGATATTTTTGCTCCCATCTTAGAAGAGTAAAGCGTAGAGGTATGGCTAGTCTGAAGTGTGAAAACCAGCACGTCTGAAAGTAGTATACCCTGATGAAAATAATCACTACAATCTAGCAATCAAACAACGGAATACCTAGAAATTGAAGATGTAAATCTGGAAAGTAAACTGTTTCCTTTTCCTTAAAAAAAACAAACCAACAAAAAAGACAAAATACTACTTTAAAAAACAGTCTCCTAACAGAAAAATGGAACATTTCCTCACAAAATTTTGTCTGGCATACAGAAACACACTTTGTTCATAACTGGGGTACACAATCTACGGATCAAATAAAAGTACTATTAAACGTCTTGCAATCTGCAGAACAGAGCCTCTGCACCTCTGCTGCTCACGCTGCAGCGTCCCCTGACTCCCGAGTCACTCCACTGCTCTCCTTGAAGGCCTCACTCAGTTCCTTCTGCTGCTGCTGCTGCTCGCTCCACCCTCTCCCCTGAAGTGCTATCATAACTCTTCGTCCTCTCAGCTGACTTCCTCCTCTAGGTCCTGTTTATCCACGTAGTGAAGCAGAACCAAATAGCAGCTACATACTATCCATGTAAAGACTTAATAATGATACTCTCATAAAACAGGAGAAAATGGGATTCAATGCATGTTTTATAAATCGGATTACCTTGACGTATCAGAAGATCTTCCTAAGGTCTAACAAAACATGCCAGAAGAACCAGGGCATAAAATTATTTTACTTTAAGAACAAATTTAGAGAAAGCCATCTTCCCCCAGTCAACTCCAGCTTGCTGTCAGAGTGGGCGTGACATCCTAGAAGGGGTGGGCGGAAGGAGGCATCCAATGCTCAAGTATCAGGCCCACCTAGGAAACAGGAAGGATGGACCCACAGACCAGACAATAGGACAAGGTGAAATTTCGTGTACGGCCAAGATCTGTGGCCTGAGGAGCACTTTCTGCCCTCAGAAAATGGGCTCCTTCTCATCTTTGTGAATAGTGAGTGCAATCCTCTCTCCTCTCTGCCTGTTGGTTTTTCTGATCCTTTGAGTCTCAGCTTAAATCCCATCTAAACTCTAAAGTGTCTCCTAACCACTCTAATCTAAGAATGATTGTCTTCAGATTCCTGCCTCACTTAATATCCAGGGCACGTATTTGTCACATTCCCTAGATTGCATCTATTTTTAAGCATATATTTCTTCTCCCAATCTTTCACAGTGCAAACTGTTCTTTCCAAAAATGAAAAACACATACGATAATGTTCCCCAGCTTAACTCCCCAGACTGATACCTCCTTCTCTACTCATGTGGATAAAAATTCAAATTCCTCAGCAGCCACACAGAGCCCTTCTATCAGGCTCTACCAGCCTTTACAGCCTCAAATCCTGCCATTTCCTTCACTCCATGTCGTGGCTCATGCTCCACGACATGTCTGTGAGTTTGTTCCCACTGCTTGGGGGATCTTCACTCCAGGCAGCTGTGATGTCACCCAGTGGCCCAGGTTCCAGTGGCCATTGAGACTGAGGTAGCTCTGTCACCCTTGGAACCACCTCTCCAGCTGCACTGACTATAATGCATTTACTCTGTCTGTCTCATTTCCCAGCAATCCCATGAGCTCTACGGGCAGGGAAAGCTTCTGACAGAAACAAAGTCCTAAATATATCATTTGGGTTCTCATTTCTTCCTCTTAGAATCAGTGAATCTTGTCTTAAAAACTGTAACTAAGGCCTTCTATTACTAACATTTCATTAATTAAACATTAAGAGAACAAAGACTCCCTTTTCTTGAGTATTCTATCCTCTTCCCTTTTTTCCTCAGACTTAACCACAAAACCATGAAAACAAAAAAACAGAAGGACAACAATGCTATTCTACAGAAAAACTGGTCTATCTTACTCCTTTGAGGGATGAGAAAAGTTTGTGGAATCCTGTATTTCTAACCTGCATTGCAATACTGGAATGATTACTATCCATGTGCATATGTGGCTTTTCCTCATAATTTGGCCACTGGTTCTGAACAGGAACCATCCGATCCTGGGATTTGGAAGCTGGAAAGGTAAAATATTCTCTGGTGTACGTTTGAGTGGGGATGGGGTAGGCTTCAGGTCTAGGTGGAGGGCTCTGCTCCTGTAAAACATGAAGAACAAAGAAAAGTGAGTCTTTTACAACTGCACTACAGACTGATCTAATTTCCAACTATCTGTTTTAAAATTGAAAAGAATACCATGTTAAAAATAAAGTGTTTGAACCTACACTGAGAATAATGAAAAACATTTTACCTTGTCTAGATTTACTGATTTAAAACTAATTTGCCTGACTAGTATATTAAAAATTAAAAGATTAAATGCTGCGAATTCAGGAATTATAATCAATGCTAATTTGCAAAGTGAAAAATCTTATTAGGTAATTTAGATATTCCAAGAGAAACCTAAGTGTTAAAGTGCAGGACAAGTCTTTAGCTCATCTTTCAGACCTCAGTGCAGAGGTTTCCAGTGGAGACAGAGGTTATCTTCGCTGTTGTTCCTGTGGCATATGCACTTTTTCCTCCAGGACTAGGAGGCTGATCTGTTGAAAAAGTCATGAAAAAAAAGTTTAATATTAAACAAACAAACTAGATGTAACAAAACAAAATTTCTTTAATGGTAGTAACTATGTCTCATTAATCTTCATACTGCTAGTGAGGTGTCTGGCATAGAGACAAAAAAACAAGGCAAGTGAGAAATTCGATCTCATAATTTCCACACCCATGTCTTGAATCATCAGAGATCAGAACTACAAAGTTTTATCTATGGTAAAGGCAGACAGTAAATATTTAAGGCTTTGCAAGTCTTGTGTCTCTATTACATATCTATTATTTCTTCTTCTTTTTGTTAACAATGCTTTAAAACTTTAAAAATCATTTTAGTTCCTGTTGGTAATTTGCTAACCCCTACTAGAGACATTACCAATGTATCTGCCTAGAACATTAACTGAATCAAAGGTTTTCCAACTTCTTTCTAATTTCTGTTAGAACATTAGATTTGATACCCCATAGAAAAACCATATCCTAGATTTAGCCAAAATATGCAGCTAATAATTTAAGTGTAATAATTAACAAACCACAAAGTGCAACCCTCACTTCTGACTGTGTCCATATGAAAAGTGATTCCTCTTACTTGCTACGTTGGGGCTGGAGCGGTGATCAGCTCTATTTTTCATAAGTCTGTCATCACCAGGCAATTTCTTTGGTTCACTATACTCTGCCCAAGGCAGCTGAGGACTCTCGGGTGACCCATTTTGAGCTGAACTGTTATAGAGTTCAAAACCTTCACTTTTTGGTCGGGGTTTACCTGAGCCACGACGATCTGAAACTGAAATCAAAGCACATTCAGTATCTCTTCATTTGATGAAGACTTCATTTTATTTTTAATACCCTAATTAGCTCTAAAAGAAAGATGAATCTATAAATATTTAAAATTCCACAAGAACTGATCTTAGCATAAGAAATAAGGTGATTTTCGTATAAGGGTAAATTCTTTCTATAGACTCTTTAAAAAGCTTTTAAATAAATATATTTAGAATTAAGAAAATTATTTAACTGGTATTGATGGGGAGAAGTACACTTTCAAACCTTATTCTCTCATAAACTGAAACTTGCCTGTTTTAAGTAACAAAGCCAACCATGTCTGACAGTTACTTTTTTTTTTGCAGCTGGCTGGTATGGGGATCCAAACCCCTTAACCCTGGTGTCATACCACCACACTGTAACCAACTGAGCTAACTGGCCAGCCTGAAACTAACTTCTTTTAAAACTTCTTAAACAAATATTTACTTCTTTAACCTCTCAGGGTTCTCCTCATCGTGAACAGCCATCGCATGTGGTAACCACTCAGTTCCTTGTCTGTTTTTCAGTTCTCCTTCCTTGCTTGCTAACCCTCGTTTATCATCTTTCACCACCGCCCTCTGACTTCTAACTTACATGCTAGCTTCTTTTAAATGACTGTATACTAAGAAATTAAACAACCAAAATGATAAGTTTTATGTTACATAAAGAGTAACATGCTGAGTCGAGGCCTGTCACACACCACATGGCTTTGTGAGGACGCCCTTTGTATTTGTGTCCATAAACAGCAGGTCCAGGCTTGTAGGTGTCTCTGTCATTCCTGCTGCTTGTTATGATTAGGTACAGACTTAAGGTTCTGGGTTGTGAAGTTCCCCGAATTCTGACCGATGGAGAAAAGGGCTAAATCAAGGCCATACTTAGAAGGCTATGCACACCTTTAGCAAAGTGTATTATTAAGACTAATATGGAATGTACAGGATGAGTTAAGAAAGAATGTGAGTCAAAACAGTTTTCTCCTGTGGTTCTAAACTAATTCTTTAAAAAGCCCTAAAGTTATATTGATTTTATTCTGAGATTTTTTTTATATGGCAACAAAACCATAATTCCTACAAAAAGTTGCTTTAAAAAACTGAGTTTTTTATTTAAAGTGAATTATATACAACACGATAATCATGCCTTATCTCAGCACTTGCAGAACTAAAATAACTACTTGTACACAAATGCACATATTCCCTCAGTAGAGAACTGAACTCATTCTTTAAAGACTTTATACCCTGAGTTTGCCTATCAAAACTGAAAATCCACTCATTCACTCACCACTGACCGACCACCTACTGCACACTACAAGAGCTCACCAGCAGTCAGCCAGCCCTGTGGGGGTGAGGTCGAATGGTTCCTGGTGAACCACAATGTAGCGCCAAGGTCAGATGGTACACATCTATATCCTGGCTCCAGGAGCATCCTAGGCATCTCGCTTAGGTGCTCTCATCCTCAATTTCCTTATCTTTAAAATTGAGACAAAAATAACACCATTGCCTACTCTACAGGGTTTATGTGACTATAAAAAGAGGTCCTAACTACACAATGTGTGGCACATGGCACACTGCTACCAGTCCTTACTTCTCTGCATCATGGGCGACGGCTGGTTGAGGAGGGTGGCCAGACCGTGGTAGATGGCACCTTGCTTTGCTACTTCGAGTGTCACCACAGAACTTGTTCTTGTCATGAGTTCTGCTGCCCTAGGAAGAAAGTATCACAAAAGTAAGAAAAACAAAATGCAGTGCTGGCTCTGTCACTGCAGCAGCCTGTGATGAGAGCAACTAACCAGTACCTTCCACAGCCTCATCTGCTAGCTGGTAACAGTCCTGACGTTCAGAGAGATAACCTACTGCCCATTTCGTTTCTTTAAAAATTCACTACTAAAACATGCAAACACATCTCCTGTTATCATATTAAGAACAGTAAGATGATTCAGAAATTTCAGGAAGTGCTAAGAGTATATATTTTTTTAGTTTCAAAGAAATTGTTCTAGATTAAAATAGTTTTTTATAATTTGGTAACAAAATGTCATCGCACTGAAAATTTTATACTTAAAAAGGTAAAGAGTAATAACAGCATACATTTTAGCATTATTTGTCATCTTCCAACTGCAAAGTTTAATGCAAAGTATCACCTGAAAATGCCAATATTAAGTTTTGAACAAATAAATCAATCATACCTTTCCTGAGAGAGTCCGACCAGACTCCGTCCATCTACACTGAGGAGCTGATCACCTGCAGCTAGTCGTCCATCCTGGGCACACCCAAAAGGTGTATACACATGTCAGGGGGCAAGGACAGAGAGGGGAGGAAGAAGATAAGGTAAAGATAAGTGCACATCACATTTGTTCTTCCAGCAAACACTGTATTGTGTTGCATAACTAAAAGCATCAGCAGAATATCTCACATCATTTGTTCAACAGAGGAATGACACACTAAAAATTTACTTCTTTAAAAACGATACTAACCACATCTGCAGCTCCTCCTTTCACAACAGACTTGACATAGATTCCCAGTTTATCCTGACCAGCACCCTATGCAAAAATAAGGTAAAAACACCACACTGAAAATACACAGTAAGAAATGCACTACAAGGGAAAGTAAAACAAAAATAAAACCACTCCACATATATACAAATAACTGTAATGAAGTCCTGGTTCTCACTTGAACGTGAAAATTAGAAATATAAAATCTATATTAATAGAATGAACACTCTATTTGGTAAAACTGAAGAAACCAATGGGAAATGATTTTAAGCTTCCAAATTCAGAAGAAAAAAATACCCCTGAACAATTAGTCAATTATTTATGAATCAGCTGATGAGAAGACCTAAATAGACTTGGAATCCTGAAGTTAATTTAAGAATAGTTTTGAACAGCCACAAGTGTAAGTGAACTAAAAATTACTTGCATGATAAATACTATTAACCATCTTAATACAAAAAGCTATTTACCTTATATAGCGTTTCTACATTCCATTACTTACCTATATCCCCCTGACCCCCTTGTTCTTTTCATATACATAGTTTAAAGTTTTAAATAAGAAAAAACTTCCTCTGGCAAACAATAAGAGAAACTCAGGTAGGAAGAGAAAATTATGCAGAAATACTCTATATTGTAAATCAAATAAATATTAAAGCAACAGGAATCAATCCACATAGAATTGTTCTATTATGAAAGAATAGTGAAATTCTGTGATGCTGACTTAAATGCTATATGTAATTACTTTCAGAATCATCAATAATCTACTTAGACATCACAATTATAACATAAAAATCAAGATTTTGAATAATTTATTGAAAATATCAAAGGAAGCAACCATATGCATGAAATCTTGGACATTATTGACAGTGTTCTATAACTATTTATTTCGGAGGTCACAACAAAAGGTAAATCTAAATCCATTTCAATAGTTAAAAAGTATTGTGTCATAAAAATAAAACTTTAAGAAGGTATCACAGAAAGACATAGAGACATAGAGACAACAAATGACTTAATTAAAATTAATTTTCTACAACACCCAGGAACTACGAAATTTTTGCTTGGAAACTATTCACATTTAGCCTCTGGTGAACAACTTAAACTCACAGAGGGGAGTTTGGCTGAACCAGCCCTGCTCGTGCTGACTCTCTTTTTCCCCTTGGGGAAAAACATCAAGCATGTAGCATGTCACTGTTTTGTGAACATAAAACACTACATATCTCATTTTGAAAACAGTATGAAATTTCCTAATTTAACACAACAATTCAATTCTGGGAAACAGTAAGCTTCAAGTTTCATATGGTTACATTACCTGTGAGCTAAGTTTATTAAAGTTCTATGCAATGTAAAATCATGTATTCACTCTGGCAGCTCCTGATCCTCTGACACAGATTCTCCACGCTGTTCATCTCAATACCCTTCTCTGTGTCTTGCTGCCAATCTCCCGCCCAGGCCCAGATGCCCAGCTGTCTACCTGACAGCTTCCTTCTGAAATCACTCTGCATTGCCAAGACACCGCAACAGTCAAGCGCAACGTATGGCTCTCAAACGGATCCTTTGCCATTAAAAAAACACTGGGATAGTTGGTGACGACTATGCTTTTTTGTAAATTTGAAATTTCAAAATAAAAGATAAAATATCCAGTAGGCACTTAATAAATGGCAATTTTCTGAATTTTATCATGTCAATTAGCAAAACAGTAATAAATATGCCTTTTACCTGACTTCACCTATGCCAATGCAGGGTTTCCTTGAATCTAGGGAACTCAACCGTGCTATGGAAAATTACTTCTAAGACAGCCCTTCACTATTCCTATCTGTTAAATTGGGTATTCCTGTGGAATATACTATAAAGCATATGTACTTCACAGGGCCTGGTTTTCCAAAGCCTTGCAGTTTCAAATATTGACCTTGCATGGGCAGGAAATTTCCCTCAGGGTATAAGTCTCTGTTGCAAGATAAGAATTGTGGCACAGCACGTTGCTGGCTCAAAGACAAACTAGTTACTGATGTTAGGTAAAGATACTGAGAAACTGCTGTTAAGAAGGAATGTTTGCTACGACCAAACTGTTGTTAATGGATCACTTAATTGCCTTACTGGAATGTCCTCTGGCTTGTTTCACTGAAAGTTACCAGCCTATACTGTTAAACTATAACCCCACCTTTGTTCTCTTCCTGTAACTTTCTGGTCTGGAAAATAAATGCAGGAAGAGAACCCCAATTTGGCATTAATTTCCCAAGGAAGGAATGCCTCTCTCTTGAGGGTTCCAGGAGATTAACCACTTTGGGGCCTCTCACTGCTCAGTAGAGATGGGCTTTGAGTAATCCTTTGCATCTCCGTCACCCAGGGCAAGTGGGGTGACAAATCCGTGGGGGGCGAAGTAATGAAAAGCAACATATTCCCTCATACATAATCTAATTAACTAAATTTTTACACATTCCATAATGTTATATAATCTATAAGTAACAGATTTAATTCCACAACTCAGCTGTTTAAATCACAATTTCTTTCATTCAACTAATATTCACTGAGTAGCTATCCTATCCTAAGCTCTGTGTGTACATCAATGAATAACACACAGCCAGATTTTTTTTTATTAAGTTCTAAAAGCACTAGTTATTTTAACTACTTTCTGTTTAACTGATAGAAAAACAATGCTTACTGAATGTCAGAATACCAACTGTTAGAGTGAATGGGCACTTACCCTACAATTTCACGTGGCATTATCTTTTTGGTTAATGTAACAGTGACATTGTAATTAAAATTATCCTTTTAACAGGTAAACAACTACTATCACCTCTGACAAGAAAAATGTTTAGCAATAATATTAATAATATAGTTTTTTTTAATAACACTGCTATAAATGAGAAAATAAATGAAGTTGGCTCCCATTTCTGGTATGCTTTACAAGATTAATATAAATAAAGACTCCCCAAAATCCTAACTACTTATTGAAACAAACTGTAATAAGAAAACTTTTTAAAATCACAAAATGGAATGATATAAGAAAATGAGAGCAGGACTGCTCCCCTTCTCCCCTGAAGCACCAGGCTGCTGCCCCACACCTCGAGCTGCCCCTCTCAGTTCTCCTGCTACGTGCAGTTCCACTCCAGGAAGATGCCTTCCTTCCATGTTCACAACGAGCTGTAGCTTCACTCCTTACCACTTTGTTTCAGTTTCATCATTCAGACCAGGAGTCACACACCTAAGGGTAACTACTGGGCTCTGTTACTTCATAATAACTCCACATTTCAGACACCTAATACACGAGCTTAAATTGTAGACTCCACATAAACTACAAAAAAAATATTTAAGTAACCTGAAATCTTATACCATTTAAATATAGGCAATTTACGATACTGCATGCAATGTGAAACTCAGTAAGTCTAAATTTAAATATTCAACTAAAACCGATCATGCTGCACAGATATCTGACAACACTGTTACCTACTTTAAATAGGCAGCAATCTACATTGTGAGTTTCAGAAAAACTCACAAAATGAGGAAGCTCTCCTTGTGACTGATCTGCTGGTCTCCCTACCTCCAATCTGCCTTAGGAAATTACCTTTCCTAAAGCACAGCTCGATGAATGCTGTCCTGACCAGACTTCACCGGCTGTCTGTTGGCTCCTACTGCTGTTGTACAGCAGCCTCCTTTATGAGGTATTCAAGGTCCCCTGAGCCCAAGTTCAAGTTTAAACCTCTCTCTATACACTATGCTTATGTTCAATCCAAACCCTCCTTCACCTTCTCTCGTTCTATCCTGACACACACTCTTGCTTTTGTTGATCGCTCCACATAAAATGTCTTTCTGCTGCCATACATCTGTCAAATCCCGTCCATCATTCCACTTCTAACCTGCCACCACCTGCCAGCTGCCACCTTCCCAGAGTCAGACAAGATACAATCTCTTCCTCACTTACATTTTTGTGGGATTTTCTTTGTTCCCTTTGAGCAGCTTTTTACCATGTCCTGTATTAGAGTTACTTGTACCGATGGTCCCTTCCTCCAACTCCACTACAAGCTTCCTGAGTCCAGGGAACTTTGCCCCTTCCAGAGCAGCTTCCCATTTAGATTGTCTTGCAGTCTATTAATTTGATCAATTCCTTATGTTAAAAACCCAAGATAAGTCTGTCATTTTACTAAATGTATACTTCAGTAAGTTAAGCAACTGATATGTCCATTATATAGAGTTAGTGATATAACTTTGTGAATTACTAGTTTAGAAAGTTAGAAACCCTAAGCATTTCAGACTATGGTACCAAATGTACCGTTTTAGGAGATGACACAAATCCATTACTGTCAGGTATGAACAATGAGAAAGACATAGTATTTAAGAAATGATAATTACTATTTTCTTACATACTGGGAATTTATCTGAATTCTAAGTTATAATCACTTCTTTTAATTCCAAGTAAACTGAATTTATATCTGCTTATCATCTGAGGAAATAAGCATTCATGATCATTAGAGACCTCAATTCAAAAGACCAATTAGATCTAATAGACCAACCGTCTATTTAAGATTGGCAATAAAAATTGAATATATTAAGTCAAACAATGCATCACGATATATGGTATTTAAAAAAGACACTCAGAGAAAGACAGGAAGATAGACAAGATATGCAAGTAAAAGAATCTGGATCTAGAACATTTTAAGAGGTGTCCAAATCTGGTTGGTATTTGGATCTTCCAAATGTGGTCCCTACCTCCTCCTGCTTATCTGGTGAATATTCTCTATCTCACAGACTGCTCTGCTTGCATTCCACTAACACTATACCTTGCTGTAGACACGTTCCTGTTCTGCAGACTCCCAGGCTCTACTGGGAACGCCCTTCCTTCCTTCCACGCCTGCTTGTTTGAATCCTACCTATATTTTATGCGCAGCTCACGGCCATAAACTGGTCATAAAAACTGTAAATACAACTGTTGTATGAAGAAATTACAGTATGACTCGTAATTATTTTTAAAAAACAACAAAATTACACATGAATACCCAAGATAAAAGAACTCTAAGGAATTTCTAACTATATGTATATCAAATCAATATGGGTAG